ATATATATATATATATATATATATATATAAATTTTTATTGCTATCCACTACCTATTATATAACAGAAGTGTTCTTACGCATGTATGTAAAATTATTTTGCCGCTCTTCAGTGTATCAAACTGAAAGACACCTGTAAACTCATTTTCAGATCACGTGCAGTAAAAATAAAGTTAAATGAATTCAAGTTCAGTGATGTGTACCGTTCAGCTATGTTTACAGACAGATCAGGCTTAATTCTATATGTGGCGGTCTATCTGGAGATACTGCAGCAAGTGCAAACAGACTCTAAAGTCACAGCAGACTCACCATTATTGCTGGCGCTCAATCACAATACAGATGAGACTGACGTCTGGATCGCAAGAGATTTTTTTCAGATTGTTTTAGAAGAAAACAATAGAGAGATATTCTTCGGCGCCGATGGCGATCTGTAGAGACGCGGTGGAGATGATCTGATGTCGGAGTCCTGCACAACGTAATGAGAGTTTCCCTCTCTGAGATTTGAACTAATCTGCACTGGAGCGGCTTCAGTGATTTATCAGAGCAACTCTACAGCGACACCTGGCGATTACATAGAGGAACTGCTGGATGTTTTCTTTAATAAATTCCTCTGATGGCAAAACTGAATTTTCAGCAGTCATTACTCCAGTCTTTAGTGTCACATGATCATTCAGAAATTCTAATGCTGAAATATGATCTTGAAAAAAAAAGATTATTATTTTTTTGGGGAAACCGGAATACATATTTTTCAGAATTTCTATTTTCTACTTTTGTCTTAACCATTTTAATGCATCCTTGCTGAATAAATGAATGAATTTCTTTCAAAATTTTTAATAAAATTCTACTGACCCCAAACATTTCAAATGTAATAATATACAGTAGTATAAAAAGGTATAGTATAGTGAACTCTTCTTCATTTCCGCTGTTTATCTGGATATGTAATTTGGAGCACAAATGAGACCTGAGGCTGTGCAAGTGTAAGAGCTGCATCAGCTTTATAAAATTTTTATACAGATAATGCATTTCAGATGGGAACGAACAGAACAGAATGATCAAAGATGTGTATCCTAAGCTCTGACACATCCTGTTGTTATTATTATTCATAGAACTAGACACAGACTCATATCTGGCCCCCAGACCTCCTTATAAAGAGTACGACTGACAGCACCCTGTCATTACCGCTCCTCTCCACTCTCTCTCTGATGACTGTAGCCTCTGGGCACACACCTGAGTGCACACTGCATACTTCCTGTCCTTTGAGGATATAGCAGAGACATCCTGAATGGTTTCATTTCAGGAACAGTAAATGAGTGAAAATAAATCAGCTTCTGGAGAATCTTGGTGTAACCCCACTGTAGCAAAATTGTAAAAAAATAAAATAAAAAAAAATCACACAAAAATTAAAATTTGCTTAGAATGTACTCATTCAGGCTATTCAGGATATAGATTAGTTTGTTTTTTCATTGGAACAGATTTGGAAAATTTTGGCATCACATCACTTGTTCATGGGGTGAATGGGGTGCCATCAGGATGAGAGTCCCAACAGCTGAGAAAGACATCACAATAATCCGTACGTAAAAAAACCCCCAATGTTTTAACCAATTCCTATTGCATTATAAATGTGGTTGTTGTAATATGAACACATTGCTTTTGCTAAAAAGTTTTTCCACATCTTTCCTGTGTTTTTAATAGCGCAAATATGTCGCCCTCTGCTGGTAACGTTAAAGCTGTGGTATTTCTGAGATTCAGAGGGTGTCACAAACAATAGCTTTATTCATTATAACAGTAGTACTTTAAATGGCTATAAAGAACAAGGATAACAGAAGCTATCATTAATATACTGTGTTTTATTTGTATAGTATGAAAAAATAGTATGTAGGTACAGGATTCAAAAGTGCACAATATTAGAAATGTGTAAATAGCCAGTAGTAAAATGTTGTTACAGAGACTAAGATGGATACATAACCCTCGTTCCATTTTTTGTTTATCCATTTATACCAGCATTTCAATAGTTGCATGTTTGATTGTCATATTTTTATTTTGTCTGTGCTCAACTGACATTTAAAAAATCCTCTTTGCTTTTTTGCCATAGGGTCAATAAAACAATAGTAATGCACATACTATATAATATAAGCACTGTTTCCACTTTGCTCTGTTGCCCCTGACTTGTGTCTACTCAGAAGGAAAAATCAGTGTTCTGTGGTGATCATTCTGGTTATTTTTCAGCAATTTAGTATAGCATGTTACAGCTGAGAATATCTGACTGGCATGCTCCAGGTTTTCAGGTTTTTGCAGGATTTCTTTGAAGGACTTCATGGTTTCTTAGGCTTGGTGTTGGTTCGTGCTGACTGCTGCACTTTGACACTGGTTGATGCAGACCTCGAACCCTCTAGGTTTTGAGCTGTGCAGGTGTATGTTCCTTGGTCAACCTCTCTGACCTCGTCCACCAGCAGTATTGTCTGAGTTCGCTGTCGGTTCTGTCCATCCACCTGCACTGTCTGCACACTGTCCTGGGTGTACAGCGGGCGCCCGATCTGATAATACAAAACATAAATTATCATTTAAAAGAAGTCTTTTAAATAATAGAAATATCATTTAATTGAATGTAATTTTTGTTTATGTATGTTCTGATAAGTTGTGTGTCTTTTCTCTAGTCTAACCTTTTGTCCAGGATATTCCCAGGTAAAATCCACCACCACGTCCTGCTTTCCTATCACAGTGCATGTCACCTGGAGATTCTGTCCCACTGCCACAGTGTCGGAGGAGGCCTGGATCGCAGGAGACGGAGGAGCGGCAGGATCTGCCGGGGTATAGACATTCTGAAATCATTTCTGAAATTTCTAAAGTCTGATTTATATGGTCGTGTGCTTATGTACCGGTTTCAGTTTGCTGTTGTGTGCTAACAACAGAGGAAATACTCACAGTTGACATAGATGAGCATGTATTTGGTTGAGCTCTGGCGAAGGTTTCCCAGGCTTGCTACACAGTACAGAGATCCAGCATGATACTGCTTCGGTCTGTGGATGGTGAAACCCTTCTTGACATCAAAGGAAATTTCTCGTCCATCCACCTTCACCTCCACTGGAGGAAATTCCTGGTGTAAAGTCACCTTTGCTAGCGGAGAAGTCACCTGACAGGGCAGGACGGTGGGCCAGCTAGTGCGAAGCTGAATGACCTCGTAATAGTCAGCGGAAGGTACAAACAACTCCTGAGGGTCTGAGAGAGGAATGGCAACAGACAATTGTCATCTCTAAATTTAAAGGTGACATATCATGAAAATCTGACTTTTTCCATGTTTAAGTGCTATAATCGGGTCCCCGGTGCATCTACCAACCCAGAAAATGTGAAAAAGAAGTCATTTGTTTTTGGCTGCAAGCTTGTGAAAAAACGAGTCGCTAAGATTTTGCTCCACCTGTGACATAGAAAGGGGATCTTATTATAATATTACTCCCCCTTCGAGCAAAGCATGCTAACTGTTCTGTTTTTGGCTCAGAAGTTTAAACTAATATGGTTTAAGACGCATGATTTCAGTGCGATAGACGTAAAAAGGGGCATAATAGGTCTCCTTTAAATTGAAATTCAAATAGTGATATTATGCAGTATGTAAATGATACAGTCAGTAATTATTGCAAAATAATTAGGATCAGGGCAGAAACCATAAAAACATTTTCATTACTTGAAATAAAATTAACTATATCATTGATTAAATTAAGTATAAATAATGTTGTATTATATTTTATTTCAGCTAGTTGACAAAGCAACATTTTTTCATTTTCATTTAGTTTGTTGAAGCTCTAAAATAACTAAAACTAAATAAACTTAAACTAAAATAAAATGGAATTCAAAATATTAACAAAAACTATAATGGTATATCAATGATTCTAAAATAACACTGGTGAAGACATATTTTATCTAATAATATTTTTTTAAATAATCTTTTTATTTAATAATCAATTTATTTTTCATTTATTAATTATTATATAACTTCATTATTATATATATTTTTGAAATTATTGTCTTAAAGCTTCTGCTAAGAAAAACATAGTTCATTGCAATGTATTAAACATGGGTCTAGCAACTTTTTTTTTAAAAATTTTTTATTTTGTGAAATCTGTTAACTGACTGCCCAAAATCTGCAGACTGCCTATCGCTTTTGGCAACTAGGGTTGACACATCCAAAGTACAGAACTTTTAACAGTTTTAATTTTAGATTTACGTCATGTTTTTGTTACCTATAAAATACTATAATTTGCACTCTGTTCATCACATTATATTCTCATATTACCCGAGAAAAAGATGAAGACTTTGACGCCTTTGTCATACTGTTTTCTGCAGTCTTTATCCTCACAGTACATAGGATAGCAGGTGAACTCCCCTGTATCTGCCGCTGTTGAATTTGCCAAAAACAGTGTACGATAACGTTCATGCTGAACTGTCCTGAAAATACAGACAAAAAACCAATTGATTATTGAACGCAATCTAATGTGATCACAGATTTAATCACTCAGATATTAGCTCATACCTGAGTCGTCCTTCATCATCCTCTTCCAGATATGCAGGAACAGCCCACTCTACAGGATTTCCTTTACATCTCAGCTCTAACGTATCGCCTGCATGGACAGTCAGCGTGTCCCCTGCTTTCTGGAACCTTCCCTTGTTTACCACCTGAGTGAGGTATGTCTGAGCTTCTTTAGGGGTCTCGGGGGTGGTTTTCACTTTAGGTTTGGAAGCAGGAGTCTTTCCTGGTCCCTTCCCAGATTTGGACTTGCCATTTGGTCTCTTCTCAGCTTTGGTCTTCAGGTCAGGTTCGACCTTTTGGCACATGCCTGTTTTTCATGTGACAAACCATTCGAAAACCATTCTGAAAGACTCTGTTCATATTTATTATGCTTTTAAAGATTTAAAAATATATATATGTTTATAAGTACACTCAGTAATTTTTACATTTATGCATTCAGCAGACACTTTTATCCAAAGTGACTTTGAGTTGATTTCAAAGTGCATTTTACCAGTTCATGTAGTCCCTGAAAACTGAACCCATAAATTTGAGTTTCATGCAAAACAAAAGCATTTTATATGCAACTTTTGATAAATGTTTTACATGCATTGCGTTAATACTTGCTTTGTACAGTTATATTGTTTTTCACAGTTTGTATTACCGAGAATCGTATCTACATAATGTACAATATGGCCTCTTAAGAGGTAAGATACTCACCGAACTGAATGATCAAAAGAGAAACAAGAAGAGAAAATAGCACCACCCTCCACTTCATGGCAGAGAAAATTCACAGCAACCACAAACAAACTTTAGTTCACTCTGTTATACCTTAAGGATACATGCAGAGAAGGGAGAAATAGAAAGGTAGCAGGAGAGGAGGAACCGAGTGAGAGGTCAGATGTTAACCAGAGTCGCATGAACACCCTAAATTCCTCTGGTTACACTCAGTGGATCCTTTCTGTGTTCATTCTACCAATCAGGGTCTGAGGAGAGCTGACCATCCAACTGAAAAAGCAGCCAGTGTTTATTTAGCTGTAAAAACTCAGAGGCATCAGTGAAAACATTTGTCACAAGGCAATTTGTAATTATTGAAGACTTCGTGTAAAATTGATGCACAGTGTTATGCATGATTACTAGTATATTCTACATTATATTACATTTACTTCAGTTATTTTTCTGGTGTATAAAAACAATAGAGCTAAAAATGCTAAACTAAGATACTAGTGGCCTGTAAACTCATTGCCCAGTATTTGCTGTGGAATGACCCAGTTTTCTAAGTTTCTGTTTGATAAATGAACTTTTCCACAACATTCTAATTTATTGAGATGCACCTGTAGTTCAGATCTGATTAGTGCAACACAGGTAGGATCTTGTGAATGGTACTATTGTTTTTTGTGTCCTCACAGTTGAAAGTAAGATTAAAGTCCCTTAAGGGCACATCAGTTCACTCAGCAACTTAGAGGAGCAGCTATTTTCTAGTCATGCAAGTCCTATACTTTACTGAAATGTCCAAAACTTTTTTCCAAGCTTACATTTTGTTACATAAATAAAAATCAACAATGAACTCTGAGTTTCTTTATTCTCGATTCTCTTTATTTAGCTCAAATCTTATATCTTAATGCTTAATATTTAAAATCTTGATACCTAACTTTTTTCCCATTTGATCTTGCTAATGCACACTTACAGTATATTTGGGACCTTTTTTTTTTTAAATGATTGAAGCATTTTTTACCAACATAAACTATTGTTAAAATCTTTTGGTCAGTATGATACTTTTTATACTTTTATTCAGAAATAATGCATTAAATTGATCGAAAGTAACAGTAGACATTTATAATGTTAGGAGTAGTATCAATAAAGACTGGAGTAAAGATTCCTGAAAATTCAGCTTTGCCATCACATAAATTAAATTTTTTAAAGTATGTTAAAATAGAAAATTTTAACATACTTTAAAGCAATTTGTGGAACATAATATTGCGGTGTTCAATATTTCTATGAATAAATCTCTGACAGAGACTATCAGCCAATCACTGTGTGCATGTGTGCTTGCCTTCAGGTCAAATAAAAGAGCCATTATTGCTGGAATAAAGCAGAGCACATGATTTCCAGGGCTTTTGTATTTTGCTCAAAAGCTGCAGACTATTTACTATTCATCTTAAAAAGAGAAAAAAAGCCCTAGTCTTATGATTTGACTTAGTCTGTCATATGTGAGAGATGAAAAAGAGGCCCGAATTAATTGATCTGATTTGTAGATCTTTTTTTTTAGTACATTTACCCGCCACAGTGCCAGAGGATAGATATTTTTACTTTATAAAATAAGGTGCTATTGTATTGTATTGTTTTGCATTGTATTGCATTGTAAAAGTCCTGTGCTCACCATGAAGGAGGCTTTGGTTGGGTTTTGGGGTTGCCTCCAGATAATGAAGACCGTGAGTAACATTATGATCAGGATCACAGTTACACTCACAACACCCCAGATCTCCAGAAACAACAAAGATCTGATAGCTTTGCTCATCAGCAGTGACAGAATAAGCACCAACACAACTGCAAAATCAAAGATATGAAAGAAATTTGCTTATATAATGGTCCAAGTGGTCATATTTTTTTGGTACTTCTGTGGATTTACTAAGGAATTTACTAAGGTTTTCTACATACCAAGAAAAACTGTGCAGGTTGTAACAGTGTTTGAAGTTTCATTGGTAGGGTATGAAGGGGGTTTTAAAAACCCAAACGTCAAAGTTGTGGGTGTGCGCAAATCATTTCCCTCTGAAGCCGTCTCTTGATACCTTGAAAGAAACCACTTTTAGCTTCAAAGATTTGTATCATGGTGTTAGAAGGGAAGTTTGGAGCTGGGAATACAACCTTAGTATGAGAATACATATAGCCTCAAGTGTGTAGGAGAAGAGGTTTCCAATCGACATCATATCAACCAATGCCTTCATGTCAAATAAAAGAGCCATTATTGCTGGAATAAAGCAGAGCACATGATTTCCAGGGCTTTTGTATTTTGCTCAAAAGCTGCAGACTATTTACTATTCATCTTAAAAAGAGAAAAAAAGCCCTAGTCTTATGATTTGACTTAGTCTGTCATATGTGAGAGATGAAAAAGAGGCCCGAATTAATTGATCTGATTTGTAGATCTTTTTTTTTAGTACATTTACCCGCCACAGTGCCAGAGGATAGTGTGGCCACCATTGGACTCTGCCGTAAGCTGACTACAGTGATTTGAACATAAGTCCATCTCTGGCCATGGCGAACAGGACATGGGGCATTGGGAACATGGACCCCAAGAGACTGCAAATGAAATGAAATGTCTGTTACTGTTCCAATACATAACAGAGATTCAGATCTCAATGTGTGACTCCTTTACCTTGTTGACAGAGCGCACAGGGACCCGACTGCCACAACGTACTTTGCAGCAGCCCAGCCAATGTAAGCAAAGGCCACAGGCAAAGGACTCTGAACGCTGAGTCGGTAGTACGGCATCATCAAAGTGAGAGCAGCCGAAACGCCAAAGTACGCCAGGAAACAGATGAGCAGAGACACCACGATACCCACAGGTATAGACTTCTGAGGGTTCTTCACCTCCTCACCTGGCAAATCAGTTTAAAAGCATGACTAGAGATAATACACACTAAGTTTTAAAAGTTTGGGATGAGCTAAATTTTTTTTTTTTCATTTATATTTGTATTCAGCAAGGATGCATTGAATTGATTAAAAGTGACTGTTGCCAGAGCGCACAGGGACCCGACTGCCACAACGTACTTTGCAGCAGCCCAGCCAATATAAGCGAAGGCCACAGGCAAAGGACTCTGAATGCTGAGTCTGTAATATGGCATCATCAAAGTGAGAGCAGCCGAAACACCAAAGTCACTTTGATGATGCCATATTACAGACTCAACATTCAGAGTCCTTTGCCTGTGGCCTTCGCTACTTTCGAATATTTCATATTATCACTATTTTTACTGTATTTTGATAAAATAAATGCAGCCAAAGTGAACAAAAGACTACAAGAGAAAACATTAAAAAATTGCTCATTATTAATGTTTTCAGATTTACCTGTAGTTGCAATGCAATCAAAGCCAACAAATGCATAGAAACATGTAGCTGCCCCTGCAAGTGTTCCTTCAAATCCAAATGGAAAAAAGCCACCTACTCCATACTGAGTGGTGATGTTGATGGTGGATGTTAGGTTTAAAAAAAAAAGTTTTAGAAAAGAACTGAAGATATGACTGAATTTGCAGTAGCATGCTAACATACTAGTCCTACTATTTTTTGCCATAATGGAAAGAGTAGTATGCTATTTGGTATAGAACATACAGATTTGGCATTTTTACCTATTTTGTGTAACTTTTGTCAGACCAATCAAATAATGTGTCAAGAAAGATATAAAAAAAATGCAACTGATTTTATTTTTCCAAATGTGGTAGTTTGTGCATTCGATTAAAATTTGTATTATATGTACTTTATACTGCATCAAGTAGTATGCTAGTATTCTATACTGAACATACACAGATAATTTTAATATGTTTGCAGAGCGAAAGGATTACACTGAATATTACTACAGTACACTGCCAATTCCAATAAATAATAAATGCAAATGTACTCACTCATGCTTTGCTGTTGCATTCAGGATGATGTCTTCAGTGATAAACCAGTTCTGTAGGTTTCCCTTGATGAAGCCAGCGATGATGACAAATACCAACACCAGTATATTAACACTTCTAAATATCTTGTTGACCGTGGTTGATTCTTTCACGCATACGCAAGAAGACCTGTGAGAAAAATACGGTAAGTAATGTCTAAGCCTTTGCCATAGATGCTAAATAATGAACTAGACAGTGTATGATAGTCAGATACCAGAGAAAATCATTATGAGACCAGCTGCAAAGAAGTCTGGGTAAGCTGCCAGCCCAGGCAGGTTCATGGCTGCATATTTGCTAAAATAATTAGCCATCACATTTCCAATAAGATCATCGAATGTACCACTCTATGCCCTGGCCACACTTGATGTGCCTAAACCAAGAGAAAGCTCCGTTAGTATTTGACCTTTGACACTTTTATCTATCTATCTATCTATCTATCTATCTATCATAATATATTTGAATTTTTATAGGCCTTTAATTTCTATTTACCGATGACATAAGACAGTTGTAAATTCCATCCTGTGGTGAAGGCCCACACCTCTCCTACAGTCACATAGCTGTACAGAAAAGCAGAGCCAGTCTTAGGAACCCTTGCGCCAAACTCAGCATAGCAGAGCCCAGCAAAGACAGAAGCTAAAGCAGCAATGAAGAAGGAGATGATAATACTTGGTCCAGCCAGG